TATTATAATTTTTAATTTAATATGAAATTTTGTTTTTCTATTAGATTGATTTTATTTTTTTTAAGTTTGCTTATTCTTATATTTTGCGCTATTCGTTTTTTATTTTGTTTTAAATTAGCTTTTTTTTTACCGAAAACTTCAATTCGTGTGTTATTGTCGTTTTAATAAGGAACAAGTAACGTTCATCTTCAATTCACAATGATCATCTTTTTTTATAAGTAGTTAATGAACGCATGCAGGCATCTACAATTTAGCGCACCCAGGTAGGAATTACGCCTGATCCTCGACTCGCTTATCTCGAAGTCGATCGATAAATGTTGATTCGCGGTAGTAGCATATCCTACGCATCGAAAAACATGTCTAGTCTCCACTTCATACTGTCAAAAATCTCAAAACACAGTATAAAGCCAAAAGTTTTTTGAGATCATTATTCAATCTTCTTTCTACTGAAGAATTAACTAAAAAATCGATAGAAATCTGGGTGGTTTTCTGGAGACCCTGCGAAGTCCCGTATAGGATCATCAGATTCTACATGTGAAGCTGCCAGTTTTAGCTAGCTAGACCATTTATGTATCTCTCTGTATTTACTGTATTCGTGAATCTCTTGTGTGGTGAGACAGACGAACAGACATTTTATACTTTATAATCCTGGAGAATTTTTGTGCAACTATTAATACTACTGCTTGTTTTTCCTTCAGATAATATCTTTATCTCATTTTTGAAAGGCATTTTCATTCCATTTAAAGTATGGCACGATCAAAAAAAGCAAGTACGTTTACTAATGCCAGTTTGAAATAGCTCAGTTAGTATAATAATTGTATTATTTTTTTTAACAAGTAAAACAGCAAAAGGCAAATAGGCGAAGAGGTATGTTGATTTTTTCAATCTATACCCACCTTTCTCGATAATACTGTTGTCTTTTCTTTTGTTTAGGTAGTGGTACCAAAAAAGCACCGACGAAACGATTAAATGCTTCAGGAAATGAACAAAGTATGTTTATTTCAGAGCAAATGAAAGATATAAGAAACTTCTTCTACTTTTAGGTTCAGCATTGAACGATCAAACCTCAGCATCGACTTCTTCTGGTTCTCCTGTAATGACGGTAATATTTTATCCTCAAGCGCAAATTCTCTTAAAAAAAGCAACGGACCATTAGTAACCTAGTGGCCAACGTCGTCCTTTTCACACTGATTTTGACTATTTTTAGAATTTTGTTCCATCAACTTCATTTAAAATTGTCAAACCTTACAATTATGTCGGAAAATGTCCGTTAACTCGTTTTGGTGTCTATGGAATTATTGAAGAATTTGGCATTCCATTGTGTCCAGATGAAAGTCAAACATCGACACATTTACTTCGGTATCATTTAGTCAATGTTCATCGAATGAACTATGAATGTGCAAAAAAATTAATATTAGCTCTGATGAATAAAGCGGATGTAAATGAACTTGTTTTTAAGAAAGATGATCATGTTGCCATATCAAATTTAAAATATACATGCCCATTATCATCAAAAGATAGTTTATTATTTAAAGATCATCCATTATGGAGAAATTGTCCCTGTTTAATTGGAAATGAAGGGTGTATAGATAAATTAAGACCGAACGAATTAAAAAAACATATGCGATTACATCATAATATTGAAGATGAAGCAAGTTTACAGTATATATTAACAAATTCACCAGATTTTCTCCAATAGTTTACATTTTTTGGGTGAGAAGAAAACAGCTAATTACTAAAGGGCATGGCTAGCTAACTCTGTTACCGCAAGGGAATTCTGCGACGTTTTATCTCCATTTTGTTGTGTCGATATTTACCAAGCCGAAACATGTGGAGAGTCGTGAAATGTCTTAAATTAAAGAGGAAAGTCTTGTGAACATTTTAAGACGTATATGCACTCTAGAAAATGCCTCTTTATGAGGATCTTAATAAAACACTTAGCACTACTTTTCTGTTATTCTGAAGAATTTGAAGTTTTGAAAAGTAGTGCTAAGTGTTTTATTAAGATCCTCATAAAGA